CATACATAAACTTCCTTTTTGTTTGAGTAATTTGAATTTCAATATTCTGTTTTATGTAAAAGATTTATAAATATATATAAATTCTACATGGTAATTGCAAACAACTAGAACAACAGCGGGTTTAAGAATGCATTACAAGGAAATCTGCCAATAAATGAATGAAACACGAAAAGACTCACGGGAAATGTACGCTACCAAATGACTTCCATAACAATAGAAACGTCGTTTTTGAATTTGAATGAAGCACGAGAATTTTTCAAGTTAAACTTTTATAAAATTCACAATAAAGGGCGCGTATCTCTAGTATAGAACGACCATTTATAACTAAAGGGGTGGCGGTCGTAGTACCGCGCATGTGCGAAATTTGTATTGATAAACGTTAATTTTTCCACAATCCATTGCGCTCTAATGTGAATCACGAGCACGTCTTTTGACCTGGGCAAGAAACGTCGATGACTTCTTCGATAGCTTCCGAACACCAAAGAAATATCTAGTTAAAGCTTGGTAACGTCTCAGATTATACTCGTTAAACTGCCCAACAACCAAAGTATTTTTTTTTTCATATTAGACACATATCCCGCGCATGCGCGGCGCGTCGACCACTGCTTTTTAAGCCACAAGTATGCTAGTCGTCATTTTGTTACCAGCATTTCAATTTTAATTTGTATATGAATAAAGCTGACCTGCATTTTTCTTGACAGAATTTTGCGTGGTGAAGAACCTCTTTGTTAAGTGCGTTTTTAACCTTATTGGTATCTTTAGCGATCTTTTGGTCAATCAGTTTCTTTAAAGCCGTAGTAAACTCTTCCGAAAGCGTTTGCAGGTATTCCTTATGCTGTGGGTTTGACGGGTCCACGCCCTTTGCGCTCCAGGGGATTCGCCATTTTTTCAGGATCCCATCAGACATCTTAGTAGAGATCTTGTCTCGTTTCAGGGTATTTAACATGTCTTGAGCCTCTTTATCAATTAGTCTGCAACAAATAATAGAAATGTGATAACGACAACGACGATCATGTCAGGTTTTGAAGAACTTAAACAACTGTAAAGTATATACAAATATGATAATTATGATGATAACGGTGGTGATGATAGTCGTAATACTGATGTTGATGTCTTAACTTTAGACGAACTTACTGACAATTGTAATTTGCGCTCACCTGTCATCTGTCATATCGAGGTAGTCATTGGCTTTTTCGTACTTGGTGATATTGTCATGGCTCTCGTCAAATTCTCGCAAAAAACAAAGACAACGTTGGACAGAATCAGGATTCGCAACTATTGCCTGATGGACTTCTTTGTCAGTAACTGCAAGTCGTAATGACATAATAGAATAACGTTGAGCAATGTTAATAGGGTACATGAATAGCTTAAAGCGGGGGGAGTCGTCATCCTGCGCATGCGTCAGATGGCCATAGCGTGTCATTGTTTACAAACAAGCGTCTACCCATGAGCCTTTGCGTTTTTTGTGTTGTTATCGTCGCTTGGGACTCAATTCCTACGCATGTGCAGGTGCGACCCTCCCGCTTTAAAGGTGGTGAAAGGAGAAATGTTATATTTATTTACTCAAACTTGAATCCGAGCTGTATATATTGTATTGTGGATGTTTAGTATCTGTTAATTAAACTATTAATTTTCATATTGTTTAAGTTTGATCTTACTAGTAATTTATCTTTAAAAACTAATTATTTATGTATATTCCCTTCTAGCTACATTATTATTCCAGGTTTTTATTTGCAAAACACACACAATGTAACTTTGGTCATTCACATGAAGTAATGTTTTTGCTCGTGCGCTTTTAATTGTTGATACTTACTATTAATCCAAAATGGCTGCAAGAACTATCTATTTTATTTTGATGATATAATCAAACGTGGATGGCAACCGTAATTTTTAAAATACTTGTATATCAAAATCGGCTTTTGGAGTAATGAGGTAACATTTTGAGCGGGATACACGAGAATAACAAATTCAAGTAATCGTTGACAAAATTTAGACTCTCAATTAGAACATACCTGATATTAATATACTGTGAAATACTTTATTTTAGCTGGAATTAATTTTCGCTGAAAAGGCATTTTGGGTGTTTTGTATGGAATTTATTTTCACTGATTTTTGATGATTTGAATGTGAAATAATATAGGAAAAGTATATTCGCTGGATTTTATTTTCACAGAATCATCCCTTCAGCGAAAACAGCGAAAATAAATTCCAAGCGAAAATAAAGTATTCTACAGTAGTATCCATTTCGTGTTTGTTATATAGTCCCTCCTTGATTGCAACATTGGCGGCGTTCTGTAGCAGATTACGCAATGATTGCGTGATCTTCCACCACTTATCGCGGTCTTCTTTGCGCAAGTCCGAAGCGCGCTCGTCATTGTCATTAAAATGCACTAGCCTCGTCGTAATTGGCTGCAGCACGTACTCTGCCGGTACGGCATTGGTGTCTTTCAAGTACCAATCATCGATGATCTGAATGTCTTGTAGAGATACACGAGATCTAGAGATTTCGCGCATTTTCTCGAACTTGTCGGCCTTTATTCGGGGTGGCAATGGCCGGTAACCGTATTTGTTGCCAATAAAAGCCTGTGTGAATAATTAAAAGCCTCAATTAGAACAAATGTTTTGCTAAAACCATTGGATTGATGAGATCCTGCTGGCATGTTCATAGTAGAACTAGGAATAACGACAATTGTTACAGTCAAGTAACGTAATAGGCATTTGTCGCAGAATAATAATCTGTTAAAGGTGCCAAGTATGAAATAATTAGGGGACAAAAAATCAAACCTGCGTAGAAATTAGAAGAATATGTCTTTTGATTTTCGGAAAATCAACATTGTGCTCTCGCAATCGCGGACTTGGTCATTTTACAAGGTTTGCCATTTTTGTGGTCACGTGGTAATTACGTGAACATTGACTCTCCAGTTTGTGCGAACTTGTCCCTCTATACTTAGGCTTTTGTAAATATATACGCTAAATTACGGTTCTGAATGAGACAATAGACAGAGAATGCTTTATTCAAAAACGTCATCAAACCCTTCTCGCTACCTTAAGCACGTATGTTTACCATGCTTAGAAACATTACTGCTGTGCTCGAACTTTGAAGAGAACAAAGATGTTATTATTATGTTAGTCATTCCTATTCTAACAACGTAAATATGTAAATTAGATATCGTTATTATGCAAACTAGCTACATATATTTCAAGAGATAAATGTGTTATGTAGAGGTATTTTGATTTTTTTGTGTGTTTAACCTTGGTTCCGTGGAATTTTGCACGTGAATAAACGTCACGTATGTAATATATACACCGTCGCTCAAACTACCAACACTTACTACAAAATAGGGGCCACTGGAAAGTCGGTGACAGTTGTGAATCTCCCGGATGCAAAGTTCCGTTGTCATGTGATCAGAGCTGGCTTCATCGCGTATACCCCACCTCATATCGACCACTTCAAATTCCAAGCCATGTTGTTGACAGTAGAGTCTCAGATCTGGAAACGAATCTCTCATCAGTGTGTTTCTTTCTTCCACCATATCTTAGAAAAAAAAAAAAAAAAAACACATTTTGCTTGAGATATAAATTGCCATTTCAATGGTAGTATGGACGGTAAAAGATTTGAACGTTGCACAGTGATCGCGATGCGTGGTAAAGTCTCCTATCTTATATTGTGGCTTGGTGTCATACAGGTGTGTATAATGTAAATGAAATAATATTTTTGCTATCTTGAATCACCTTTTAAAATAATCTGAGTTTTAAAAAATGGTTAAAAATTATTCTTTGTCAATTAGTTCAATAGAAACATTTTTTTGTTTACGTTACTTATTGTTCTTAAAAATAAACAAATAAATACATATTGAAAAAATGGGGAAAATAATAAAAATCAAATGCCTAATAAGGAAATAAAATTAGTGAAACTAAGAATAATAAATAAATAAATAAATAAATAAATAAATAAATAAA